TAGAGGAGCATTTGTTTCAACGGCACCCCACTCGCGTGGACCAAAATTTGTATTCATTTGTGTTGGCTGCCACAACGAAAGCCGATTGGATGAGTCGTCTTAAAACAAGACTAGTTTGTTTTGTTGTGTTATTGTTATGGTTTTTAATGAGCGCTGTAGCATCAGCTAGTCACAGCACACTCCGATCTCCTGGGCTCAAGCAATCTCGACTGCCTCAAGCTCCAAGTAGCTGGACGTAACGGCAGTGGGCCACGCGATGCCCGGCTAATTTTTCCTGGCCTGTACTATACTACTATATAACACGGTATATATGTATATATATTAGCTTTTGGCAATTAATTTTGTGCTTTCTAGCTGTATAGTAGACGGACGGGTCTCGCGTTTACTCAGGCTTGTTTCGAAGAACTCCGTGACTGCGAGGTCAATCCGCCCGCACGACTGGATCAATGGATGGATGGATGGTGGATGGGAGGATGAATGAATGGTAGATAAATGGATGAGCTATAGGTGGATCACTGGATCAGTGGATGGATGGATGGGGGATGGGAGGATGGGTAAATAGATGAACGAATGGATGGATGATGTGTGGCTGGGGCCAATTTCAGAGCTAGTGGAATAGCAGAGATGGAGGTGGCGCAGATGTCTGAGGGCTGGGGGTGGGCCACAGTTTGCAGGGGCCCCTTCACCAGGGCCAGGCTATGGGGGCCTAAGCTCTAATACCGTAGGAGCCTCTGAGAAGCCCACCACCACCTGCCCCACCAGCCTGACTCAGCCCAACCTCCCCTGACCTCCTGGGGACACCCTGAAACCATCAGCTCACAGGTCCACCTCCCTGCCAGGTCTCCGTCCCCAAAGGCCAGGACTCTAGCCGTCTGTCTCCGTTCCCCCTACCGTGCCTGGGCCTGGACATCTCACCCCATGCAATCTGGGAGGGCCCGCCTGCCACATGCCCAGAGCGGCTACCTCTGACGGTGAGCTGGGCAGAGGACGTGTGGCTGCCGACGTGGAAGGAGATGGTGCCGGCATCCTCAGGGGTCACGCCCTTCAGCCAGAGCGTGTGGATTCGGCCATCCTGCACGGCCACCTCTGTCACCTCATTGCTCTGCAGCGGCAGGCCCTGGAGTCGCCACTGCACGTCCGTGGCCCCAGCCCGTGACACCTCACAGCTGAACTTCACGTCCTTGTCCACCTGCACCTCCTCGTCGACCAGACCCCGAACGATGGTCACCTCAGGCTCTGAGGGGCAGGGCGAGGGGGGCCCCTTCACCAGCTAGGTCAAAGCGCCCAGGCCCCCTCCTCCAGGTAGCCTCCCTGGCCACCTTCACAGCCTCTGCCACAGCCTGTCTGCACCATACAGCATTTGTCCCCCCACTTGCTCCCAAGCACAGCCCCCGCGGTGACACTGAGCTCCTTGGGGGCAGACCTGGCTGCGGCACCAGTCTCCCAGCTCCCCAAGTCCTCCCTGAGGACCCTGCACCACGTGGCACAGGAATGAGGAGGAAGAGCTTGAAAGGGGGGGGTACAGGATGTGGGTGTGGCAGGGAAGGGCTCACCTTTGACCCTGAGGGAGGCCACGGTTTTCTGGCCACCCACCACGCAGGCGTACTCGCCGGTGTCCTTGGCCTCCAGCCCGTGGACCAGCAGCTCACACGTGGTCCCCTGGCTCCGCATCTCATACTTGGGGCCCGAGTGCAGCTCCACGCCCTCCTTCAGCCACTGCACTGGGGCCGCTGGCTCCTCCTGGCCGAGCTGACAGCACAGCCGCGCCACGCCGCCTGCCTCCTGCTCCACGGGCTGCAGCCCCGCCTTGAACTGGGGCCTGGAGGCTGCGGGGACCCAGGAAGGGACACTGAGAGCCTCGTGCTTGCCTCTGGGCCAGCTCCTCCCCACCGGGCCACTGCCCAGGGTCGGGAGAGCAGGGCCCGCAGCTGCTCACCGTGGACGGACAGGGTGGCCGTGCTCTGCGCGAGGCCCGTGTCGCAGGTGTACTCTCCCGCGTCCTCTGGCTCCGCGCCGCGCACCAGCAGCTCGGCCACCGCGCCCTCCTGCACCATCTGGTACTTGGCGCAGGGGAAGAGCTGCAGGGAGCCCTTGCGCCACTCCACGCCCGCGCCGGGGCGGCTCAGCTCGCAGTGCAGGCGCGCGGTGCCGCCCTCCGCCACCTCCTGCGCCTCCAGCTCGCGGAGGAAGCGCACGGGCGCAGCTGTGGGCAGAGGGCAGCGTGAGGGCGGTGGGGGGGACACGGGGGGGGGCTCCAGAGCGCAGGGGATGGCGTGGCGTGGCGGGGTGAGGCGGGCCAGGGCAATTTTACTGGCGCAGCTAGGGAGATGAAGCGGCAGGAAGGGGGGACCGCCAGGGTCTGGGGCGCCGCTACGGGGGGGGGCAGTTACGCCAGGCTGGGGCCGCCCCACAAGGGCGCAAGTGCGGGATGACGACAGGGCCCGGAGCAGACACAGGTCTCGGACACCTGAACGTGCAGCTTGGCGCAGTCGGAACCTGCCCATGGGGACCTCCCTCCACACGCTGCTCCAGGGTCAGCCCAGAGCGCCCGTCTCCTCCCCGCCGCCCCGCACCCCGGGGCCTGCGTCTGAAGGGGCCAGCCCAGCCTGGGACCCACCCGTGACGGTGAGCGTGGCGCTGGTGGCCTGGGAGCCGCAGGCGCAGGTGTACTCGCCCGCGTCCTCGCGCCGCACGTCCCGCAGCAGCAGCGCCGCGGTGCAGCCGCGCAGCCGCAGCTCCCTGCGCGCGTCCGCCGCCAGTTCCAGGCCGCCCTTGCTCCAGACCACGGCGGCCGGCGCCGACAACTCGCAGCGCAGGCAGGCGGCGGAGCCCTCCTCGGCCTGCAGGCTCTGCAGGGGCTCCCGGAACAGCACCTGGGGGGCTGCGGGCGGGCGGGCAGGGTCGGTGGGAGCCACACAGGGCACCACTCCGCCCCACGCCGCGTCCCCGTCTCCCCAGGGCAGGTCCCCTCTGTGCCCCCTGTGCCCAACAGGGCAGGGCTGCGTCACCCCCAGGCCCCGGGCCAGGACCATGTCCCCTCAGACCCTGAGCTGTGGCGGGCTCTGTCTGCCCCACCAGGCCACATTGGCGGTCGGGGCCAGGGTCCGTGGGACCCGCCTCACCTCCCCGAGACACCAACGTGAGAATCTCCAGCTAAGAGACCTCCAGTCTCAAACAAGGATGGCAGAAAGCTGAGTGGACTGGGTGGTGATGGGAGACAGGGGGGAATCCGGTCCCTACCATAGTGACCAGTGGCATGAGGCCATTTGGAGGGAGATCAGGGCAAACACCAGGGTGCTGTGACTCGAGAGGAGACAGGACAGGGGAAAACAGTGAGGGCCGAGGGGGAAATGAGTGGCCACAGGAGCGGCAGCATGTGGCCCCGGGGCTGGACACACAGTAAGGGCAGACACCCACATGAGTCCACAAGGCCACATGTGGTCTTTACCCCTAACGGTGAGTGTGGCCGAGGTCCGCTCCTCCCCGCACACGCACGAGTACTCCCCAGCATCTGCCACGGCCAGGCCACGGATCTGCAGCTCACACTGCGTCCCATCCCGCCTCACGCTGTATCTGTCCCCATCTCTGAGGGTCTCGGGCCCCTTCCTCCACTCCACGGGGGCCGCCTTGCTCAGCTCACACCGCAGGGTGACTGTGGCCCCTTCCGTGGCCTCCTGGTTTTTCGCATCTTCTATGAACCTGGCGGGCAGGGCTGTGGAGGACCAAGCGGTCACTGTGGGCATCAGACTGGAGGACTCTGTGTACAGGACACGGACACCCACACGCAGCCACACAAACTGCCACAGGTGCACAGTGTGAGCGAGCGAGTGAGTGAAGGTACAGACGGTGAGAAAGCAGGTGGCCCAGGTGAACAGAGAACACGGGGCGGATGTGAACGTGAAGAGAGGTGACAAGGAGATGGGGAGGTGGGAGACGCCCAGAGGACCCCAGTTAGAGGACCGACGACCCTGGTTGCCACAGGAGTTGTGCCACATTTGGAGGCAGAAGTTGGGGACGGGGAGACGATGTGTGGACACCAAGCCACAAGTTAACATGGTCAAATGTGGCCTTTACCCTTCACAGTGAGCCTGGCCGAGGTCCGCTCCTCGCCGCACACGCACGAGTACTCCCCGGCATCTGCCACGGCCAGGCCACGGATCTGCAGCTCACACGTGGCCCCGTCCTGTCTCAGGCTGTATCTGTCCCCATCTCTGAGGGTCTCGGGCCCCTTCCTCCACTCCACGGGGGCCGCCTTGCTCAGCTCACACCGCAGAGTGGCCATGGCCCCTTCTGTGGCCTCTTCGTTCCTTAGACCCTCTGTGAACTTGGCGGGCAGGGCTGGGGGTCAGAGAGACATGGGCACGGTCACACCCTCAGAGCACACAGAGGAGACAGGACGTGGAAGGCACAAAGACACAGAACGCAGCTGGACAGGGCCACACGCTGTTTGTGCCGAGCATGTGGATGGTGGCCTCCCTTGGTCCAGCCTGTGCACAAGTCACAGAGCAGCTAGGAACATCACAGAGAGGACAACACGTTGTGGATGGAGAGAAGACCAAGACTAAGAGACCAGAACACAAATGGGGGCAGACAGGTGATGGGCAGCCACCAAACAGAAGTCCCCGTGGCCACTTGCAGTCTTTACCCCTGACGGTGAGTGTGGCTGAGGTCCTCTCCTGCCCGCACATGCATGCGTACTCGCCGGAATCCGCCACGGCCAGGCCACGGATCTGCAGCTCACACGTGGTCCCGTCCTGCCTCAGGCTGTACCTGTCCCCATCTCTGAGGGTCTCAGACCCCTTCCTCCACTCCACGGGGGCCGCCTTGCTCAGCTCACACCGCAGCAAGGCTGTGGCCCCTTCCGTGGCCTCCTGGTTGCTCATGTCTCTTGTGAATCTGGCGGGCAGGGCTGGGAAGGACCAAGCAGTGGCTGAGAACATCAGACTGGATGGCTCTGTGTACAAGACACGGACGCCACACACAGCCACAAAACCTGCCAAAGCACCGCGGTGTGAATGAGCAAAGGAAAGTACAGACGGTGAGAGAGCAAATGGCCCAGGAGGAGCAGAGACGACAAAGGGAAGGACGTGACAATGATGACACCTACTGACGAGGAAAAGAGGACATTGTAAGATACCCAGAGGACCCCAAGTAGAGGATATATGCCCACAGGGTCACCAAAGGAGCTGCACCACATTGGAAGACAGAAGGTGGTGACATGACACAATGCACAGACATCAAGCCAAGGTCCCCATGGCCACACACAATCATTACCCCTGACGGTGAGCGTGGCCGAGGTCCTTTCCTCCCCGCACACACACAAGTACTCCCCGGCATCGACCAGAGTCAGGTCACGGATCTGCAGCTCACACTCAGCCCCATCCTGCCTCAGGCTGTATCTGTCCCCAGCTCTGAGGGTCTCAGGGCCCTTCCTCCACTCCACAGGGGCTGCCTTGCTCAGCTCACACCGCAGCGTGGCCGTGGCCCCTTCTGTGGCCTCCTTGTTTCTCAGTCTTCCAATGAAGTGGGCAGGCAGGGCTGGGGATGGACAGATGGACACAGAGAACATCAGACTCCCTAGAAGGTGCTGGGGAGCAGAGCATGCCCCGAAGGACACAGAATGCCCCAGGACAGAGCCCACAGCGGCAGCCAGAAGGGAAGCAGGCTGTGCATGCTGTTTCCTCTGGTACATGCAGCAGCCCGGAGGCCGGAGTGGTTCCATGGAGTGACGGAGAGAATTAAGGGGACTCCACAAAGTAAGCAGAAATGCACAGCAGAAGTTCATAACTGGACACCAGATGGAGGGTCTACTTGTCCACGCAGTATATTTACCCCTGACGGTGAGCGTGGCCGAGGTCCTCTCCTGCCCGCACACGCACGAGTACTCCCCGGCATCTGCCACGGCCAGGCCGTGGATCTGTAGCTCACACTGGGTCCCGTCCTGCCTCACGCTGTATCTGTCCCCATCTCTGAGGGTCTTTGTCCCCTTCCTCCACTCCACAGGGGCCGCCTTGCTCAGCTCACACCACAGCGTGGCCGTGGCCCCTTCCGTGGCCTCCTGGTTGCTCATGTCTTCTATGAACCTGGCGGGCAGGGCTGCGGAGGACCAAGCGGTCACTGAGAACATCAGACTGACTGGAGGACTCTGTGTACAGGACACGCACACCCACACGCAGCCACACAAACTGCCAAAGGCCACGGCATGAATGAGCGAATCCACGTACAGACAGTGAGGAACACAACGGTCCGGGAGCCACAGAGAGCACAAAGAGGCAAACGTGAACATGAGGACGTCTCCCAGTGAGGAGAAAGGGAGGTGGGAGATGCCGGAGGACCCCAGACAGAGGACAGATGCCCACGGGGTCACCAAGGAGCTGTGCCACATTGGGAGGCAGAAGGTGATGACACGGAGACAACTGAGACACTAAGGTCCAGTCTACGTGACCACACGTGGTTTTAACCCTTCGACGG